ATAGAAGAAGGGTCTAGGCCCGAAACGTCAGCCTTCCTGCTCCTCTGATGCTGCTTGGCCTGCTGTGTTCATCCAGCTCTACAACTTGTTATCTCAGATTCTCCAGCATCTGCAGTTCCTGCTATCTCTAATTCTGTTTAAATGTTGTCTTTTGTGGAGATTTTCAAAACCATAATAATCTCATCAACAAAAAAATAAATTGGATACAGTTAACTTGAGATTAAAGGCTGTAACCATCAGTTCTTCTGGTGCAACATCTTGGGGAATTTGTATTCTTTCCCAATAGCTGTGAAGCTTTAAGATTGCACCCAGTCTTCAGCACTAACCAACCAGCAGCACTTCCAAAAAAAGTCCAGAATGCACAATCACCTGAAAATAGATGCACATAACTCTGTATAGTGGAAACACTGGCAAAAAGCCAAATTAGCAGTGCTGAACATTTCATACAGTCTCTGGAATTTACTCTCTTGGTATATGATAAGATCACAGCTAACTTGTTGAAAATATTTATGTACTGAGAATCCCCACTAGACATGCCAGATGACTACTAGAATTACATTTTATCTTTAGCATAACATGGAAGGTATGTTCCCATTATACTTCTCACAATTGGCATGGATCTGACCGAAAGTGTTGACAAGATACCTCATCGTCATGACAGTAACGCACAAACGAGTTGTGGGATAAACTTTGCATCAACCACTTTCAGAGTAATGTCACTTTTTGCAATATTGTTTGTAGTTTTTGATCCTTAAATCAGCAGAGACAAATCAGAAAGGAATAAAGATAATTGAATAAACGAGTGTATTAAATTATGTTGAATTGAGAAAATGTGGTTTAACTTTGGAGAAAAGAAGATCAAAGCAGTATATAGTCCAGATATTTATAATAATGCAAAATTAGAAATACAAAAGCTAGAAATTAATCTTGGATGGCAGATAAAAGTGTAGTGTCTTAGGAGCTGCTGTAATACGGTCAGCCTTATAATAGTCCTATTGACTGAACCAGAACCAAATAGGGAACAATACATATACTGGCAGTCAATTCAAAATTTCTTCCACTTTGGACTGTCATCCCAACATTTTAACTCCTTTTCTTTCAACAACAGTGACAAAATTATGAAATATATAAACAAAACATTACAATATATTAAGTAGTATACAGATTGAAGATAAAGTAATATAGTACACAGGCAAATAGAATCAATTGCATACAAAATATATAAGTATATAAACTATTTTAAACAGAATCTAAATGTATATGCAAATATGAAAACATTTGAATAAAATGGAAGAGTCTACCAGGACTGACTTATGAACAGTGAAAGTGGGTAGTTGGAGGCAGTTGATGTAACTAATGTCTTGGTATTATGGAGCAAGGGACAACCTGGGAGGCAGTGAGAGGATGGTAGATTACTAGAATAAGAAAACAGTCATACAGTGGGAAATGCAACAGTTATGGGAATAGACAGGTGTTTTGTAATTGCAAAATACTTATAAATAAGAAATACTATTCTGCCATCTTTAATTAAACCATTCAAAACAAACAGAAACTCCAATATTACTTTGTTATTGAATGTTATTTGTTTCTGCCTTCTCATTTTCAATAATAATTCTCAAATGATGCACCTCATTACTAACTCCCTAACTATCAAAAAGTAGTCTTTCCATATTCACATCAAAACTTTTCTGAACTGCAAAATCCATGAAATCTTCTTTTACCCTTCTCTGGTCTGGTGGAAGTTGCCCAGTATCTTAACTTATAAGTATAGTTCCTCATCACTTTCATTTATTCAACTTTTACTTCTTGCTCTTTGTACACACATATCCTCCTGTTTAAAAATATATGAATTGGATTAAGTCAACAGAATTCTAAATTACATGTTAATTTTAATATTCACATTCAGTAGACAGAGAAGGGGCCTTGATTAGTTTATCTCAATCCAATTTGGAGATGGTTCAGTAATTTCAATTCTAGAATATTGAGCCCAGCAGTTTCTCTGGAAAGATTTTAGAAAGTGAGTAACACTTCCACTCCAACCATGCGAGCACGCCGAACACTAATCCAATCATATTTTGACTAAGCATCCTTGCCATTTCTGACACAACTGGGTATCTGCATTGAGGGAAGGGAACAGGAATACTATCACAGTGTAAGTGGAGTCACAGTGCAATCAGAAGATCAAGACTCATTTTATATATGTTTGATAACAAAATGTGTAAATCTTGGATTGCTTTCATATTAATAATACTATGATCTTAAATTAAGAAACTCTCTTGATAAGATATCAGGAAACCTGAAGCATAGTTATTCTGCAATCAATTGCTTTAGAGAAACTGGCCTTAGAAATTTCATTATACTCAATTTTGCAGAATCAGTTTCTGAAATTCTATTTGGTTTCAAGAATGTATATAATTTTACCTCAGTGGCAAAAGGTGCACTACTTGTTTCGCTTGACACTTTCCAACTTTCATTATGTATCACCTTATGTATCACCTCTAGGAAATATTCGTTAAAAATAATGGGGGAACGCTTTGACTGTCACTATTGCAAGGAATCCCTCCTTGGCAAGAAGTATATCTTGCGGGAAAGCAACCAGTACTGTGTTAAATGTTATGATAATCTGTACTCTAACATGTGTGAAGAGTGTAAGGCACCAATCGGCAGTGACTGTAAGGTAAATACGCTCTTACGTTAACTAAACATTTGCATTTTAAATGTATTTGAAAACTATAAACATAATGAATTAAAGTCATCACAATTAATGTTAATTTAGAACCAAACTAATGTCCAACTGTCAAATTACCATAATTGTACAAATTATGAATCTGTTAAAGATGTATTTGAGGGCCATATTTTAGAGGTTACTCCCTTATTGTGATAAAAAACTAGACACATATAACTTCAACTGTGTGCACTTGTTGTAATTCACCATTCAGAGGAGGAGAAATGTAATTGTACTACATTGTAATTGTAGTACATATTTTCTGTATTATATATACACGCATTTATCTTGCCTCAACATTTCCCCCTAGGATTTATCCTATAAGGATCTTCACTGGCATGAAAAATGTTTCAACTGTGCTAAATGTAGCCGTTCTCTGGTTGAAAAACCTTTTGCTGCCAAGGATGAAAATCTGCTGTGTACTGAATGCTATTCTAATGAATACTCCTCAAAATGCTTCACCTGCAAAAAGACCATCATGCCTGGTAAGAGTCAATGAAGTGACTAATTAAGACAAAAAGCAGAAATTGCTGGAGAAACCCAGAAGCTCTGGCAGCATTTGTGGATAGAAAGCAGAGTTAATGTTTCGAGTCCAACTGACAAGGGGTCACTGGACTTGAAATATTAACTCTGTTTCTCTTTCCACAGATGCTGCCAGACCTGTTGAGTTTCTCATGCAATTTCTGTTTTTGTTTTTCAGATTTCTAGCATCTGTGTTTTTTGATTTATTTTATCTGGCTAATTAAGACATTGATGACTAATCTGAATTCTGGAATATTGAGCCTCAGAAGTTTCTCTGGAGTGCTCTTAGTATGGGAGTACTACTTCCACTCACCCCATGGAAAAACTCTCTACTCCAAATATATTTTGGCCAAGTATCCTTGACATCTGCCTCAAGGGGGCAAAGCTGAAGTACTATCACTGTGGATTCACAGTAAGGCATAATAAGAGGTCAAGATCAAGAACTATTTTATGTGAGGAAAATTTCCAATTTCTTTAGAACTTACATTGACGTCAGCTAGCCATTATAGTAATTGCCCAATTTTCATTTCCGTTGAAGTTAACCTCTTGTGTATCCCAAAACAATTTTGAGGTTGGCTCTGTGTAGGTATCACAACAATATCCATACTAAATCAGAAGACCTGATGTGGAGATGTGGTGTTGGATTAGGATGGGACAAAACCAGAAGTCACATGACACCAGATTATAGTCCAACAGGGCTAGTTAAAATCACAATAAAATAGAATTTCCTTTATTGTCACATCTACTTATGTACAGGAGTACAAGAGTACAGTGAAAAGTTTACAATATCACCCACATGATACCAGCTTAGATACAAAGTGCCTAGGTACGAATCTTAGATTCAAAATAGAGAAATAAAGGATAAAAATGGGAAAAGGTTACTTTACCTTACAGTTATTCATAGTATAAATTAGAAAAATAAGAAGTAAAACTTTAAAAAGATAAACATTACAGTCTTTCTATAAAGGGCTTGCAGTAGATCAGCACAGGGGGCTTCCACACGTGGTCTGACTGGGCTCATAAGCCACTGACCACCAGCACCAGTCCCCAGTCCAACAACGGTCCCCCCTCTGCTCGAGCCTCCAGTCTGCTGGCTGTCCCCCCTCTGCTCGAGCCTCCAGTCTGCTGGCTGTCCCCCCTCTGCTCGAGCCTCCAGTCTGCTGGCTGTCCCTGCTCTGCTCGAGCCTCCAATCTGCTGGCTGTCCCTGCTCTGCTCGAGCCTCCAGTCTGCTGGCTGTCCCTGCTCTGCTCGAGCCTCGAACTTCGGGAGATGTGAATGCAGGGCCGCAACCCAAGGTGTTGCCAACCTGAAAAAAGGTCAGGTCAAAAACAGCAGGTTTGGGAAGGGAGAGGAAATTCATGTTTACAGTAAAAAACCTTTGAGAATTCAGGATTTCCAATGACATGCCTGCCTCCATCGGGAGACAAAAATTTGGGCCCAAGAGTGTGTTAAACTCTATGGTACCCTTAGTCAATTCTCTTCAATATTGAAAGCTACGCATTCACGTTTCCAACTCACTTAAATCAAGATGAATATAAGTTAATAATTTGTGGAATGAAATGCACGACTAATTGTAGGAGGTGAACCCCAACATTTGCCCTTAATATGTTCGAGCCAATTTGAAAATATATCAGTTACATACTGGGCATGTGCATTCCTTAACTATATAGTTATATAGAGTAAAATGTGTTTAAATTAAACAGTCGATGTACAATTTGTTCCCTGATAAAAGTAACCATTTTTGCAATGACAGGATCTCGTAAAATGGAATACAGAGGAAACAGTTGGCATGAAACCTGCTTCACTTGCAAACGTTGCCGCCAGCCAATAGGAACCAAATCATTTATACCCAAGGAGAATGATGCCTACTGTGTCCCATGCTATGAGAAGCAGTTTGCTCAGCACTGTTCATCCTGCAAAAAGGTATATGTTTTAATATGGTTATGTAACTTTTCTTCTAATTGTAAAAGCATCCAGATTGTGTACAAATAACATTGAGACTGCATTGAGGTAATGTTTACTCCTGGAATCAAACTACAAATTTATTCCTGTTGCTAGGGAACAGATGTGAACTTCTGAGACTGCCAGTGGTTCTGTACGTTGCACCAATGGTGAAATCACCTCTTCCCGATTAGTCGCCTACAGTAAAGGTGCAGCTTCTCTAGCTTACATATATGTCTGTGGTTGCGACAATATATCTGATCATTCACATTTCTGTGTATGATGCAGGTAACAACTGCTCTACATAGGTCCCAAGTTGCCATGAGAAACGACTTTTGTAGAGAGCATTGAAAACTTGCAGCAAACACAGAAAATGCTGGAGAAACTCAGCAGGTAGAGGAAGTGTAATTAAAGTGGGAACAGTGTTCATGCTGTAGCGTTGTTGAACTCAATGTTGAGCTGTGAAGGCTGTAAAGCTGTGTAAGTGGAACACGAAGTACTGTTCCTCTAGCTTTGCTGGAAAACCGCAGTTGGCCTAGGATGGAGAGGTTAGTATGATAGCATCTACATCACTCCTTTACTACCATTACCACTCCCTTTGTCTTTTGCTCTGGGCACCCTCACCACCTGTTCCGCCTGCTCCTACCTCCACAACCCGACCACTTAAACATCATAACAACCCATCATTTTCCAGCCCCTTCAGTTTCAAAGAAGATAATTGAATTTGAACATTAACTCTGTTTCACTCTCCACAGATGCTGTCAGACATGTCGATTCTCTCCAGCACTTTCTGTTTTTCTATCCATCTAGTAAAGCTCCTCTGAACCACCTCTAATGCATTTCTTCAATAATGAAACCAAAACAGCTCACAGAATTCAAGATATCGTCTCACCAATGCCCTGAATAACTGAAGTATAGCTTCCTTACTTCTTTATTCAATTCCTTGCATAGTAAAAGGTAGCATTCCATTTGCCTACTTAATTACATGCTGTACCTGCAGGTTATCTTTTTGTAATTCATGCATTAGAACATTTAGATCCCTGAGCACCTCAGAATTCTGACCTTGTTCTCTGTGTAAATAAGACACTGCTTTTGTATTCTTCCAATCAAAGTGACCAACTTTGCACTAGCCTACAGTATACTCCATTTGACAGATTTTTGTCCACTCACTTACTCTAGCCATATTGGTCTGCATCCTTGTCACATCATCTTTGCACCGTACTTTACAATCTGACACTGTAATCTGAAATTTAGTCACTGTGCCATTACTCCCCTCATCTAAATCATTGATATAAATTATAAAAAGTTGAGGACCCAGCAGAGACCCTGTGAGATGCCATTTGTCACATCCTGTCCATCAGAAAACAACTCACTTATCCATACGTTCTGCTTTCTGCAGTCAACCAATTTTTAAAAAAAAATAGAATCTATACAGTGCGGATGCAGGCCATTTGGCCCGCTGAATCCACACCAACCCTCTGAAGAGCATGCCACCCAGATCCACCCCCTACCCTGTCCCTGCATTTCCCATGGCTAACTCACCTAGCCCACATATCACTGGACACTATGGAGCAATTTAGCATGGCCAATCTACCTAAACTGCACATCTTTGAACTGTGGGAGGAATCTGGAACACCTGGAGAAAACCCATGCAGACATGAGGAGAATGTGCAAACTCCACAGCTGCCTGAATTTGGATTTGAACCTGGGTCCCTGCCAGTGTGGGGCAGCAGTGCTAACTGCTGAGCCACCGTATCATTGCTACAATGTTATTCTCTCTACCATTAGCTGCTACTTTGTGCAATAACATGTTATGCTACATTTTGTCACATGGCCTTCTGAGAATCTAGAGACAGTTGAACTCCCTTTTTATGCACAGAACATAATTCCATGAATTCCAATAAGTTGGTTTCTCCCCTTCGTGAGACCATGCTGACTCTTCACAATTGCCTTGAGCTTTCTTAAGTTCCCTGTTATAATCTCCTTAATGATTGATTCAGAATCTTTTTGATGACAGATGTTAAGGTAACTGGCCTGTAGTTTCCTGTTTACTGCCTCCCTCCCTCCCACCCTTTTTGAAAATTGGGGTATGTTTTCTACTTTCCAGTCTGACGTAAACATTCAAGGGGGTAGATCACTTTTCAACAATTTGCACCATGAACATCTAGATCTAGTTTGTCTAAGACTACTTTATTTGCATTTCTGTGTATTTATCCATGTCACACCCTGCTTAACAGGCAATAACGACTGGAGGAGTAAGTTATCATGACCAGCCATGGCATAAGGAATGTTTTCTGTGTACTGGATGCAAAATGCAACTAGCTGGTCAGCGTTTCACCTCAAGGGATGACTTCCCATATTGTCTGGATTGTTTCAGCAACCTCTATGCTAAAAAGTGCACAGCTTGTGGCAGAGCAATTGCTGGTGAGTCAAAGTCTGATCACACATCTGATTTTCTGCATGAAAATAGATCCTGATTAAGGCAGGTGAACAGTACATGTGAATAATAAGATTTTTAACTGAGAAGACAGGTAAGGAGGGTCTGGGCATAATGGGACCAGGCAGGCAAGCTCCAGTGAGCCCTGATGGTTGGGAGGTGTAGGTGGTTTTCTCAGGGAAGGTAGTGTCATTAATGGCGGGGAGAGCCATTGCCATCAAAGGGCTCCTCCATGGGCTATGGAGTGCTCAAAAAGGATGCCCTAGCAGAGCCTGCCTATATGCCGCCTGCTTTCACTAGACGCTCTCCCAATAAGGCAGAAAGCCTTTTCAATGTGGGAAAAATGCCAGGGAAAGTCTAGAAATGGCTGTGAGTTGGTCACTTAAGTGACTCAATTGAGCTCCCAGCAGCTGATCCATCTGTCAGCTTTCCCTCTGTTGGCAGAACGGCACAGCAGTGGGAAGGCATTGGGCACATCACTGATACATTCTAATTGTGTATTGCCAGCATTCCTTCCATGCAGCTATCACCAGCTGGCCTGGTAAAATGATAGCTTGTGTGTTCAGGTTCCTCTGTATCCAAGCAGATGTATGTATAAACATTATTCTGCATACTTAACTGGAATGTAAGCTATGACCAACAGTTCAGTACAGCTTAAAGATAGCACATTCGTTTCTATGTAATTTGAAGGCTTTCTCCTGGTACCCACATGAAAATATTGACGAGAACACTGAGAGAGCTCTGCCTCAAATACTGCCATAGAACTATTTTACAGCAACCCAGAAGGATCTGGGGCCTTAGTGTTACATCTGAAAGATGGCACCTTTTGCCAATGACTCAAATCACAAATATCCATCACTTCATTCTGCCAAATACATTTTTCAAAAAGCACATGATTCTATGAACGTCACCTGTTGGTGACACAAAAACTGAAAGACATCGAAGATCATTCTCAAGCAACAGGAAGCAGCTGCCTTCCAAACGTGGGGCAATAAGATGCAAAATTAAATTCCCATGTATGACAAAATAAAAATGTTCATTTTATTTCGAAGCTGATCTCATTTCTTTGCAGCATCCCTCTTCTTGTCCATCCTATCAGCATCAACCTTTCTTTCACTCCCCTGTAGCCACCCAGTTTTCCCCCCCGGCTTCCTGTCATTCCCTGGCAAAATAAGGAGGTAGGCTGTCCCACATCTGTACATGGTGCAGGCCTCTCCCCATACCCCCTCTTACTGTGTGCATCCCCATGTTCCCATGCCCAGAGAAGGCTTCACTCCCCCACTCCTGCTCCCAAGCAAGTCTCCCGTGTTCTCACTCCCAGTACAGGCCTCCCCATACACCTTCCCCCAGTACAAGCTCTCTGCCAGATCCCACTCTCAGTGCAGGCCTTTGTCCCTGTTCCTGCAAGGGCCCCAGGCTCCCAAGCCTCCAGCCTCCCCTGCCCCTGACAATGACAGCACTGTGCATGGCAAGTGGTGAAGTTATTGGTGCAGAATCTACCCGTAGCCTGTCCCAGCATGGCCAGCTGACAACTTGGGCTGTACCTGCACATGCATGGTGGCCATTTCAGCATTATGGGTAATTACTTGTTTTCAGAAGGCTTCAACTCTTTATGAGTTTTCAATAAAATTATTTTATGTCACCAGCCCGCTGAATGATTTCCAAACTAAGCAAAATTATAAAAAGCCGTCATGTGAGACATATGCTGATAGAAATATCGAGGGTTTGTATGTCCTCAGATCATCTTAAAATACTTCACAACCAATAACTAAGAAAGGAAATGTAATCATTGTTACTGCAGCTAATTTGTTGATGCCAAAGTCTGATAATCTTAATGAGATTAAATAATCAGTGTTATCAATTCGATCAAAAAAAAATTGACCAGAACATTAAGTGAGCTTTGGCTCAGATACTGCCATGGAATTATTTTATAGCAAACCAAGAGGTAGCTGGAGTCTTGGTTTAATGTTACATCTGAAAGACGGTGCCTTTGCTAGTGTAGCACTCACTTTATATTGCGCTCCAGTATCACTTCACATTGCACCTAAGTGTCAATTTATATTGCACTCCAGTCTGAGCTGGAGCTTGGACTCATGATATTTCTTTTCAGAGGTGCGAGTACTATCACTGAGTCAAGGCTACCAGCAAAAATAAATTTACACAACATTCGGAATAAAAGAGGTTCATTTTTAATTAAGAGTGCCTAGTTTTAAAGCTAGTTTAGTCACCATTGATAAAGCACTGAGCTCACCAATGAATGTTTTCAGTGTCCATGCCAGAATGTGACTGATATTCAAGTTCTCTCTATAACAATAATACTTAAATAAATGCAATATTTGACCTCAAAAGGCAGGAAAGGCAGAAACAAAAAGGAGCTCAATTCTGACAGTAGCTTATTGATTTTCTTTAATGCAAACCAGAGCAAAGCTCAAACCAATCTACAGCTATAATGATCATACCTTCCCAGCTATAACAAGACTACAAAGAAGAGAGAACACGTGGAAAATAAACACATAGTCAAATAAAATTAAAAGCAAGATTGCAATTTTATAAAAATGTCAGTATGAAACTTCAACTCATACTTTGTAATTTATTCAGGTCTCGGAGGTTCAAAGTATATCTCCTTTGAAGATCGCCAGTGGCACAACGACTGCTTCAACTGTAAAAAATGTGCCATCTCTTTGGTCGGTCGAGGATTCCTCACAAAACGAGATGATGTCCTCTGCCCTGAATGCGGCCGTGATGCTTAAACTGTGAAATCAAATCTAATCAAACCTGGATTTTGAAATAAATGGTAGCACATTTCTGTTGATCAAAAATATATCTGCAGCTTTCAGCATAGAAATAAGCGTAGTCAATAGCGCTTGCCAAGCAGCTAGACACAATGGCTAAGGTTTTATAGACAGCAGCCAAGCAACTGCACTCATCACTGACCTGAAAGAAATCTACCTGCATCGCACCGTGGCTCAGTGGTTAGCACTGCTGCCTCACAGCACCAGGAACCTGGGTTCAATTCCACCCTCAGGCGACTGTCTGTGTGGAGTTTGCACATTCTCCCTGTGTCTGCGTGGGTTTCCTCCGGGTGCTCCGGTTTCCTCCCACAGTCCAAAGATGTGCAGGCTAGGTGGATTGGCCATGCCAAATTGCCCGTAGTGTTCAGGGACGTGTAGATTAGGTGGGTTATAGGGGGATGGGTCTGGGTGGGATGCTGTGTGGGTTGGTGTGGACTTGTTGGGCTGAAAGGCCTGTTTCCATGCTGTAGGGATTCTATGATTGATGTAGTCACCTCTGTGGTGCAGTTTTCCCCATTCTCATTTCCCAGCATCATTTACTGTGTATATGGTATATGGTATGCAGTAGTATTGATGCCAGCAAACATGTAAGCAGCTGATCCCACTGAAGTGTTCATATCTTCAAACCAGAATGTTCAAAGCACTTAACATCCTTCATTAATATACATATATATATATATGTAAATATTGCAGATGCTGAAAGTCTGAAGCCCAAACAGAAAAGACTGGAGAAACTCAGGGGGTCTAGCAGAATCTATGGAGAGAAAAACAAAGTTAATTTTTTATGTTCAGTATGGATTCTCTTCAGCACTGGGCTTGAAACTTTAACCCTGTTTGTCTCTCTATCAGACCTGCCGAGACTTTCCAGCACTTTCTATCTTTGCTTAATATCCTCTACTATTGATTTAACTATTATGGATAACGAAACAAGTTATTCCTGGATTCGGATTAAAACTAATGTAAGGATAAACTTTAAAAAGTTTTTTTTAACTTGGAATTTTCTTCATAATTTGACATACCATAAATTTAAAAATAAGTTTCTTAGGGCCAGTGAGGCTATTTAACAGTAATTATAAAGTTTAAATCCCCTCTAAAAACAACACAGAGGTATATCACATTGAATAGGGTGCAACTTTTCCAAGAATTTTGAAATCAAGGCTAAATATAACAGTAGGGGTTTTGTCTGTTCAATTGGTTTCCCATGGTTTGCAGTCTATAATTGTATCAACAGCCCCACTCCTGGAAAACAATGGTGTTATGATTTCTGCTCCCTGACGGTATTATAAAGACGTCGAGACATGTAAAATCCAATGAGTAGCTTTCCCGTTGCGTAAGAGGCTGCCTCTGATCTGTGTGAGCAAGGTGTTAGGAGGCCCATCCACCCTTGGATCATTGAGTGCCTTAAAGCAGCTGAGCCATGACGACTAAAGGAATTTATCCAGCTGCTACGAGTATTTTACCCATGACAGTTCGGGGACCAATGCATGCTGGAAACACAGTTGCTGTAACAGCATTGGCTGATGTCTGACAAAAGGGTAGCTGTCCTCTGCGGGTCCCTAGGGCCCATTGGAGGTATCACCCACGAGGGTCAATCGGCCCCATCCACAGCCCTTCCCCATTGTCTCTTGAACTTGGCACTGTGGCTATGTGAGCCTCTCTAACCCTCCCACATCCTGGGCTGCTCTGTGTGGTGAGGCGGGCTGTGATCCCAGCAGTTTTCTGTGCTCTTGCTGGCAGTGATGGGACTACAAAGCTGATTGTGCACCAATCTAATTGCTTTCAGCATTAAAATGCTCTGTATCCACTGTAGAAAAGGGGGGGCAAGGGCTGCTCACCCACCTTTTAACCAGAATGGATGGGGTCTGCTGCGCCTTGTAATATATAGCCCACAGAATCACCGACAGCAACATTAATCCGTATGGACTCTAGAAATGGTTGTGAGTTTCAGTGCAGCCAGAACGATGAAAGCTTGCAGTTTCATCACTAATATTACAGAATCTGGCCATTGAAGTTTCTGACGTAAGTAATTTTTGTCTGCAGCGTAAGTTCTTTTTCAGAGTACCTTAAGGTATCATCCCTACAGAATATGTTTTATTTTCTTTTGCTTTCAATGGCAGCCTTCTCATAAAAGCATTCCTACATTGTTAAAAAAAATCAGATAAAAGGTAATAATGTGAGCAAGGAAAGACGTCCTGTTTACTAAACACAATGGGCAAACAGGTTTCACAAGAACAAAATTTTATCTATTTTGTGTGAAAAATGTTATATTAACCAGCAATGTCTCTAAAAGAATGGACAGTATCATTACTAGTGATGAAAGATACCAGTTGCATTATAACTGTTCTACAGCAAATGGATGAATTGGAAAATAGCATTAATTTGCTACAAGACTTTGCTAGCAATTTCTTTAAATTAAGATCTATTGTATGAAGATGCATTTCAGTTGTCTTCATATTTAAAACAGAATGCTGTGTAATTCTGGCCTACATATAGAATGAGATTTTCATTTGAGATGTGTATAGTTTTAGCTTCGAGTTACTTTCTCTATTTCTGAAGCAGACCCCAGTCCCATTCTCATATGCAAACTTCAAACAGCACATAAAGTTTTTAGATGCCATATTTTTTCGATGTTGAGTTTATACAATCATGCTAAACATGCATTAAGTACAGCGGCACCTCTAGTCAGTGTGAAATATTAACATTTACTTGCCTAATAAGGCTTTAGCAGTTCACAGAACACAAAGCAAACAATTCCACACCAGCTTTAACACCAAGAAGTTAAAACTCTCACAATATCTGATTTTGGAAATCTGTGATCAGTTTAGGCACCACATGTCAGAATATACAGTCCTGGAAGTACTGCCGTACAGACTGCGTCCACCCTTTAGTCATAAGGGATTCACAACTTTTGTTCCATATATTATTTTGACATCAGATGAGGGTTTAATACCAATGGTACAAAGCTCGTGTCCATGACACTTTATAACAAATTGGGCTGAAATATGAAATAATTATTTCTGGAATGAGTAATCAATAGTTTGCAAAAGTAATGGAATATAAATAGTAAGCAAACCTTTTGCAATACCAATTTCTTCACAGAGTCTAGGTATACATGCTGATAATACAACTTACGTGAAAAAAAATCAACCCGAGCTACAAATCTACTTTAAAACCTTAAACATCAAGTTTTAGTTGTAGGTGAAGTAACTCAAGTGCATTTATCTTCTACTTGTTCAAGTAATGTGAGTGACACTTGACAAGTCTGCATTTATTGCCAATTCCAATTGACCATAAGAAATGGTGACCATTTCCTTGAAAACTGTGGTCCATGTGGTGAGATCTTCCCATCAGGTGTTTAGTAGGGAATTTCATGATTTCAAGCATTATCAATATTCCTAATGCCATTACATAACAAAATTTAATCAGGCTCAGTTTTAAAACATTCAATTGATCCAGTATCTATAGTTTTTTTTTTTAGGAGAGAGAGCGTGAATTTCTACAGAGTGGAAAGTTGCTATAGAGTACCCATCCTCTGGTGTGCTTATTCTTGTCCATATTCCTGCATGATTGGGCCTTTGGTGATCACCAGGATGATATTGGAGTTGTTAGTGGTGGTATCATTGAAGGTCAGAAGAGATAGTTGAGTATTTCCTGCCGTTCTGAGCACATTTGTCCAAAGTCCTCATGAAGCATAACAGTAGCTATTTCATTATGTAAGGGGCCATGGTGGCAGTAAAGACTACATCATTGACAGACACAGCCTCACTCCTGATTTGTGATGTAAATAAGAATATTGAAGCAACTAAAAAGATTGAAAACACTGCTGCGTTAAACTTCAGCAAAGCATTGGGCTGCGCTGGCCTCTGACAGTTCACAACCACCTTCCTGTAATTAGTTTGATTTTGCCCACTGATGTTTCCTTTAAATCCATCCCTTCACACCCCATCCAACCCACAACAGCCCACTCACCATGGGCCACAGTGCTGCTTAATTTCAAGACAAGTTACCCTTCCTCTTTTCTGCCATTCCATCATGTCTGCATCAAGACTATTTTGAACTCTAATTACAACACAACAGGTTCTGGCCAAAAATCAAAATGAATTTCAGTAAATAATTATTGCTGAGTAGGTATCATCCGGCGGCACTACTGATGACTCCTTCTATCACTTGGCTGATGTTTTTGTGGAGATGAAGGACAAGTTTGAGAGGACTGGTACCTTATTCTAAGATGAACCTAATGTTACTCCTGACATACGCTTTCACATTTCCTATTGAATTAGGGATCTTCAAGTTGAATGGCAATTGAGGCAGGAGCGTGAGGTGACAAATTGTGATGAATTATGCTGCTGCTGTTGGCCCACCAGTGCATATGGTACCCTGTTTTTGAATTGTTCACTCTGGTTTGTCCTACTCAGCACTTTGATGACTACCTTTCTCAAATCCAAAACCTATGCCATTAAAATGAAGGCAGGTATGCGTGCATAGGTACTGCAGAAAGATTGTATTGCAGTTGCCAGTCTAACCACTCAACTGCTGTCAGCATCAGAGACATCTGTTCACAAAAATCTTGAGATTTAATGAGTCCCTTTGTGCTAGAAATTCATATAAATGTATGATTTCCTTTTATCTTCCTTTCTTTTTGGCAAATGTTAGCAGCTTAGATCCTAAACATCACGCCTTGAATGTCTTTGATCCAAATAATTGCCATACACTAAAAAGTGCAGACTGTGTCTTCATGAAAGCCCTTTGTAATGCAGTGCTTACTGCTTTTGACTCTTCCAGACATGTGAAAAAATGTTGAGACATAATTTGTGTAATACCACACACACATTTTCCTGTTACTGCTTGATGCTGTTGGGAATACATGGGAGTGTTTGTTATTTCATTTTAAATCGTGCTTAATTAAGTTCTGTGGACTGAAATATATTGCTTTTAAAAAATAACTTCTTTATTTAACATTTGACCACTCCAAAGTTTTCTTTGAAATTGATGAATTCACA